AGTTCTAGAAATGATCACTGATCAGTGTGACTCCTTAAACGCCGTGATAAAGGATATGGCGACTATGCTGCAGCATCAAGAAAAAGAAATGAAAGAAGCCCATTATCTGACGAGTTCTCAGGTCCAGAGAATCCTAAAAAGGAATCGAGTTGCTACAAGATCAACTCAATTCGCGTTGGGATCTTGAAAATTTGTAAGAGGAAAGTGGAAGCACATGGTTCAGAAATTGCCTATCTTCAATCTTGCATAGGAAAAGTGGAGAAGGCGACGTCTCCGCCATCCTTCAACGACCATGAGCAGAACGACGATGACGGTGACTTCGATGCACGGAAACTTAAGAAGAAAGTGGATGAGGAAAATTACTCTACTGATGGGAACGATGACGACACCCACTGGGTAAGGATGGTGAGCGAATTCACCGACATGACGAGTAGTGAAGAAGATTGGCATGAAGAAGACAAGCCGGCACCCAAAACTAGAAAGTTCGAGCATTCTGAAGCAATGCTCTTCAGTCGCATGAGAGCCGTACTGGCAAGATTGAGTCAAATGGAATACGACTTCGAACGCTTCCCGTCTCGAAGTGGATATGTACGACCTTTGGGGATTCCACCCCGAAAGAAGTGCGCGTTTTGTGACGCAATAGGCGAACACATTTCCGACGCTTGCCCCCGAGTTCTAGATGGCGATACACGCTATGACATTATTCATCGAAAGAAATGGTGTAAATGTTGTCTCAAAGGCTCACGAAATCACAAGTGCAGATATCGTTCGATGGAATGTTGGTACTGTCTCAAGCTGATCGGCACAGTGTTTGAGGACTTACGCCCTATAGAAAGAGGTTTCCATCATCGCGCAATCTGCAACGTCCCCGATAAAAAAGTTATTGCTCGTGCACGTGTGGAAGAAACGCAGGAAGAACTACGGTGTTTGTTGAGCTGTGCAAAAAGAGCGCATAGCGCAGGAACTATTGTCGGAAGGCCTCGAAAATGATCCCATGAAACCACACGGATCGAGGGAGATGGAACAGCTTAAAGGCGGAAGCAAGCGTCACCAAGACACCACTCCATTGAGGCTTATTCATGAGAATCCTTTGTCAGCTTGAGTTTCTAAACGAAATTGCTTTCAGAATTGTTTGTTTTTTATCTTTGTGTTTATGTTTTTCTACTGAAATTTCCACTAATGAAAATTATACTGGAGGTGAATTTCGGTGATGGTATAAGTGGTCTCGGCCGAGTATCATATCTTTTCATGGTGTCTGTATGTATAGTGAGCATAACTACCGGTGAATCATGTTAGGCCGATGTCTGACTTTGCGAATCGAGCGATTCACTAGCGTCCTCGGTCGCGGTGCGCTACCAGCGAATCGAGCTGTCGCTAACGAATCGATCGATTCGCTAAGTCTGACATCGGCCCTACACAGATCCATGGTGGAGGATTCCTCGGCACAAGTTTTGCGGTCGGATTTGTCTTGGTCTTGTCGAGAGGGGTGGTCGTAAGCTGCATACCCTAATTCCGTAGATAAGCTCGCAGCGATGTCACGTAAATACACCTCCGCTCGTGCAGTGTAATTTTGTACACCTTAAAAACTACCGTAAATTTGCTTGTAGAGGCACTTCGATACTCTGGTTATGAAAATGCCTTGCAGTTTTAGCGGTGGCGCCATCTGGCGCCACTTGGCGTCACCTTGTCACGACACCTGATTCCACCAAATTTGGTGTAAACTTCCGTGTAGGGGCTACGTGATGCCCTGATAACGAATATGACATTCATACTCGGCGCTGGCGCTGTTTGGAGCTATTTCCTGCTCGTCTGCTCTCTCCAACCGAGAAATATGCGGTGAAAACGTTAAAGCCAAAAATGAATGTTATACTCGTAATACAGGGCACCAAATAACCCCCATACAGATGTTTACACTAATTTTGGTGAAAACAAGGGTCGTGACAAGGTGACGCCAACTGGTGCTAGATAGTGCCACCGCTAGGAATGAACGTCGTTGTCGTAATCATCATATCGAATTGCGCCTATGGGCAAATTACGGTTGTCTCTAGATGTACGCAAGTGCGCTGCACCAGCGGAGGTGTTTTTACGTGATATCGGCTCATTTACCAGAAATTAGGTATTTGTAAACTGTTGGGCTCCCCCACTTCCTTCACGACTTGGGGCGCGGCCGCGGCAAACCCGGCCGAGTATGCGCCATCAGCTTACCTGAGTATTCGACGTTACATTACGGCATCAGCTTGCCTGAGCTTTCGACGTTACTTGCGATACGTGATGTAACGTCGAATACTCAGGTAAGCTGATGGCGCGTACTCGGCCGGGTTTGCCGCGGCCGCGCCCCAAATCGTGAAGAAAGTGGGGGAGCCAAACTGTTGAGCAAGTGCGGATACTCTCGCCCAACCACCTAACCACCTGCTCCTTCATCTATCTCTCTAGGTGCACTTTTGATTTTTGGGTAGTGCTGGGAGTGCAGGCGATACACCTCCTCCCATCAGTAGCGGGAGGGGGTCTTATTGGTCAAAATTTACTGGACGTGTGACTACCACGGTCACGCCGGTCGTCCAGTGAAGATAGTTTTGTAGAGTAAGTGAAGTGTTATTGAAATATCCCGTCAACAGCTTTTGAAACGATTGTATTCCGTGACTTCATTCATGCAGGTGCTGTCTCAGGAAGCCGTGGAGGTGGTAGCATTCCGATGGAGCAATGTCAGAGCTATGTGGTAGATAAGTTGTCGTGGTACAGCCCATTTCCTGCAGAACCTCGAGTCGGCTGTGGAAAATGATGTCGTCATTCACTTGGATAAACTGACTGCTAAAAGAAACTGAAAACTGGCTGCTAGCTGCCTGCTCTAAGCGGAAAAAGTCCCAGTTAGCACACATTACCGATTCCAGAAAACCACGAGCACAACCGTCCCAGCGTGCAGCTTTCGGCCCCCATATACTCAGGGAGGGGGGACATTCGAAACAGGGCCGATGGTAGGTGACAATAAGGCGGAGCCCAGGAGTGGGGAGAATCGCCAGGGAGAACAAAAATTGCTCAATCTTCCCCAAGAACTCCTTCCCTTACCTAAGGTTCAGTCTCAAGCTTAATTATCGTCAATTCTCTCCTCCCGTGCCCCCCCCCCTCCTCCACTCCTGCTACAATCTCCTTGTGATAGCATTCGGTTACGCTTTCAATTTTGGGTGCGCCACATCCTTTAGTCCTCATCACAAGTAAGCCCAGGATGAGCTGGAACATTACAATCCTTATCACCTTCGCCGATGAGATTGGGTTAATAGTGACTCATTGCTCCGGAAAGTAGCGGAAACTGAGTAAAACATGGGCAGACCTTGTCGACGACCCTACTTGCAGTGTCTCCATCTATGACGTGAAGCACAATGTTCGTAGGTCTCATTGGCCTGTTTCGACTCCTAGTTAGTGGCCGCGCGGCTCGGCATTCTGAAGCCTCCTAGCCAAGATCAGTGTCAGATTGTGCAAATAGAGCGATTCGCAGCACCTTCAAGATATCATTATATTTCACAATGATGCCATGAGCGGAAGTGGTGTAGTGACAGGTGGCGCGCTTACCACGCGAGCGGTCCGGGGATCAAATCCTGGGTCGTGAGTCGCCCGTCAACCAAGCCTTCCATCCCCCCGGGGTCGGTTAATTGGCACCAGATTTGTCTGGGTGCGTGCCGCATCCCAAAAGGGATTGATCAACGGCAAATGCTTAATCCTTATCCTTTAATGATGCCATATTGGAAAAAAGACGTCAGTTTGACCACAGTTCGGGAGGACTTATGAGACCGTTCAATGCACAAAGAACTGAACTGCTAGGTAAGTGTTTTGCAGATGTAAGAAAATTAGAAAGGACCGATTTTGGCATTCCGATGTGGCGTTGGAGCGCTCGGTGGGGGAGGGGGGACATTGGAATGCGAGCAGCCCAACAGTCAACATTTTCTGCTCCTGCTCCTCGCAGGACTAAGCCTCATTTAGGGTAAGAAGAGAGGTGTGTAAATTGTGGTGCAATTTTTATTTCTGCAGAAGTTCATCTTCCCCTATTAGGCCGATGATACCCCCTCTGAGTACACTAGCGCCCCGGATAGCACTCTCACTGAAGGTAGATCTGAGTCTCGAATAGGGGTCGGTTGGTTCTCCTATACAAAACCGCTTATGAAAAAAAAACAAGCAAAAAGGCAGTCTATTCCATTTTCAGGGAAGAGATGGGTAGGGCTGTGCTTTGAGCCCCAGTTGACGCTATGCTTGCAATTTGAGCCTAAAATCACATAAATCAGAAGGGTGTGCAAGCGCCATGGCACCTTTTATTCTGGATAGCCAAAAGCATCAAGATTGGCGGAATTTCGTGTCCCTATAAAAACACATTTCAGGTATTCATGCCACTGAAAGACGTTTAAAAAAACATCCGGTGAATCACGTTGACATCACCATGATTCTTTTATTTTCTTTTGTCTCGTCAGCGGTTTCAGTGACGTTTTTAGGAGCCATCATACATGATATTATAAACGAAAAAAATCTTAAATGCTGTGAAAACTGATTCAGATCGAATTTTTTCTCTTCAAAGAAGATGACAGATCATCTTCAGCGCAACAAATGTCACGCGCGAAAGAGGTAGCTCACAAGGCTCCATTGGTCAAAGTCCTAAGAAATAACATCGGGTACAGCCAAATCTCAATTCGTACGAACTTTATCCGTTTATATGCTAGTTTTAGAGCCGATTAGTGCAACTCATTGACTCAGCTTTTAATTCTCCTTCATCAGCAACGTGACAATCTTGAGGCTGCACGACGCCAGAAATGCGAATTTAGTCCGGGTACTACATTCTGCGCATTCTTGTAATTTCTCCTTCATTATTTACGCTGAACTATCGCGTCCCAATCGCAATGAGCCGGCAATGGCGGATGTAATGCCGTCGGCTGCGTCGCGGCCAGGTCGCGTTGCGTTATGACATCCGACGGCACGGCGGCTTGACGGTGCTCGCGTGGACGGACGGCGCTGATCCGTGGATGTCGTCGACGTACGAATCACTCCTGCCACTCACCTTTGACTATTCCGTTCCACCTCCAAGCAAGAAGGACTGTCTGTACGAGGTATTCCGCTAGATTTCGCGAGTAGTACTCATGAGTTGGAGGTTTGCCAACGTTCATGATTTGAATGACGTCGTTCGCGTAGAACGGTGAACGTCGAGCAGTGATTCGTTTGAATGCGTAATGAACTGGGAACGTTTCGGATGAGATGCTCGTCTACAGATAAAGATGCTTGAGGGACATGCGGCATCGTCAATACGTCCACCACCGATCACTTCAGAATTTGAAGACGTTGCTTTATTTTTTCTCACATCGACAGACCGTCACGATGAAACGCAGTTTTATTTAATAAAGTTTATCGAACAGCGATCGTTTTTTGAACCATAGTAGAGGAAACCTATCACGTATATTTACATTATTAAATGTAGATTTTTTTGTGAAATTCCGTTGTATGTTTGTTAGTCACTTTCCGGATTTTACTTCAGAATTCACATTGTAATGGTGACGCCGTTTTGCACAGTCCCGTGCCATCTCAACCATCGAGTTTTCAGCGAAAAACTGTGTACAAAAATGGAACCATAGAATTGACTATTATTGAGTAAGAACTTTGTTTTATCGATACGTTGTATGGTACTCGATTATTTCCGCATGGTAGCAGAGTTATTACTACTCTGGAATTTGATTAAAGCTAATCATTTGTCAGGAGGATTCCCTATTTTTTTGTTGTTAAAGTATTATTTTTACAGCGATGAGCCGGCATCGTCGACATCATCCTTACCGCACAGTAGTCATGACACTGCTGATCAACCCGATGAAATCGTCAAGAACCTTTCCGGAGTCGGTATGTATTTTTCTTGGAATGTCAATGGATGGAATGTTGTTCTTGTTGAGTCCCGATGTTACTATGCTATGGCTTATAATTTTTTTCTTTCGTAAAATTCTGAGCTATGTAGCAAAATATTCGACGTACGATAATCGAACTAAGGTCTGCCGTTTGAAGGAAGCTAGCCAAACCTTGTTAGATTCAGAGAGGCTGTCGTGTGCTGGTGCTACCGGTTTACCGGGTTGACAGACATGGGCCTACTCGCTCCTTCAAACCCCAGTTTAGTGCTACGCCTGCCCTCTAGAGCCTAAACAGCGGCCTTTGACTAGATTCCACAATCAAACTTTCGCCACACTGTAACTGGTTCACCCACCTCAGAGTCTCTCTCCCTCCCCCCCTCCAAAGCTTAGTCCTATGGCTTCCATGTTTCCTAGGAATTTGAAGCCGAACCAGACTCCATTTTTTAATCTTCTATGCTCTCCGTGGTAGGACCATAGAAGAAAACTCAAGCAACCCGTAAACCGTTTACCACTGGTTCACGTTAGTAGTGTTATACGTAATTTAGAGTGGAAGTGTGAGTTCCCTTACCGTCCAAAGGAATATATCGCTTATGACTAACATTCTAGTGACAACTTTGTTTTGTGAAATGTGAAGGAATTTTGAATCACTTGAATTCTTGCTCGATTTAAGATATTTGGACATTGCTGCTAGCGCTCTTCCACAAAAGGCATGTATCTTGAGGAAATAGTTCTTGCTGATTGCGGTACGGTACATTGCACAGCTTTCGATTCGCGGTGCAAAAAAGTCGTTGTTAACCGTGAAGGTGTGGATTTTTGTTCAAGTCTTGGTAGAGAAAAGAGCTCCGGGATACATGTGCAAGAAAAGGCATTTTGGCTCCATTATGGAACTTAATAGAATTGCAGTTGCCGGGAAAGTGAAAAATAAAATTCAAGCTTTTTCAGAGCGTTTTCTGGTATTCGCAGGTATTTAGATAGCGTGCACTAAATTATTCGCTCACAAAGCTTCCTAAGGCCAGCTACAACAGATTCTGGTGTTCTCAAACTCATCGGGTACCGACATTTCTAACGTGAAAACCATGTCTTCTACCAGCGGTGTAGTTAGGACGGCACAGATGTGACTATATGGTAAGGGGTGTTCGATGGTGTTATGACATAAGAATCGTCGTTCTAAGGTGGCCCTAGAGAATGTCGGTCTTTTTATGTTTTCTATTAGAAAACTGCCATCTCTGCGCTATTCATCAAGAACAACTCTAGTCACCCTAGTTCGGTAACGTTTTTTTTCGCTTGCAAACAAATGAAACCGCTACATATGATTTTGAGCATTTGTTATAGTGAGGCTTGTTGACGTATAATCTTATGAATAACGTTCTCATCTTCAAGGATTGACTTCTTGGCGGTGGTTTTGGAATAGTTTTACCATGGCCTAGATACTCAATTATGAGTTTTTTTTACGCTTCCCTTTTTAAATTTCTTGGTTAGTTCTAGGTGTAAAACATGTCGCATAAGTACCCGATAGCAGCTGTTGTAGAGTGGCACCACGATTATCTTAGTCGGGATATCGACATTAAGAGGAAGGAATTCTCAGAAACAAGGTTGTTCATATGGAAAAGATGGCAGGGGATTGAGAAAAATGTCTTTCCTCACTTCACGTAATGCTTCTAGTTCTCTGTCCTATACTTTTGACACAGCGGTGCCGGGCAGCCAGTGATACATATGTCCATTCGCGAGCACAAAAGCAGCCACCTTGAAAAGCTCCTAACATTTTGCTGATTCGCATCATCTACATGCATCTTTGCGCTATTGTAGTTTTTATTTTGGAGGCATGATAGTGAGGTGCATTATTTGGAGTTTTAGCATCTTCTACCGCCCGTTCTATCCGCTTAGAGCCAGAGATGGAAGTGTCACATAATACCAGGTTTAGCAACACTTTGTCCCATCGACCACGCGCGCGGAAGCTGCGGGGGGGGGGGGTGGATTGGGAAAGCTGAGGGAAAGTCGCGTCGACCAGAATTCTCCCGACTAGTGGCAAACCCTGACTCCTATCATAGAAATTTTGGTGAATCGATGTGTGTGATTTATATGGAAAAGCGGGTTTCTCGATTCGGTTGCCCGTAAAAGTGTTCGTTCAACTGATTAACTGTTTGGTCTAAAATGCGACGAAGCTAGATGCACGTGAGATGCGCTTCTAGTTACCAGCCACTGTTTATGGATTATTTCGCATTTTGTTAGGTGGCAGTAGCCGTTCTTAGACAATGACCTTTGAATTGGTTATTCAGTGCAAAAAAGGTGTAAAATAAAATAGCTCTCAAGTGTTTGGTTACACCTGTTGCTCCCATTGGGAGTACTCGTCCTCCTCCTTCTTTCTCAGTCCTTTTGCTAGGAATCTAGCTCTCAAAAGTCTTCAGACAGTTGCCTTTTGGTAATAACTTTTTTCTGCCATATCAAATTTGTTCAAATTTTGATTTTATTCTTGCGAGTAAAACATCACTAGGGTTATGCAAATGTTGGAAGTTACCACTATCAGATGAGTAGTATCGTTGGTGAGCGAGACAAAGAGTGCGACGTATCCCCTATCCACTGCCCATCACCTCCTTCCATGGATGACGGCCCATACATCGATGGTGGAATATAAAAATATGTAAATAGACATGAATAGATGATACAATAGGGTAGTAGTGATACCCACTGAAACGCTGGGAGGGCGCTATTCATTTGTTAACAACCGTGTCTTTCATCTAGTTTCAGCTCTTTTACGGATTACCATAACCGAGCCTCCGTCTTGTTTACCGGATGTCACTAGGAACGGAGAGGACTAGGTAGTGATGAAATCTACAGTTGTCTTTTGTTAACCTTCAGGGATTGTTCCCATTCTTTGAGCCTTTAAGGCACTCATGTTGCTAGGGGACGTTCATGTGAGTGAAACAGTAACAGACTAGGCATTAGGAAGGGGAAGGGAGGATGTGAGCAATTATTTTCCCCCTGGCGTCCCCTCCATTCCTTCCTCTTGGAATGTTAATAAACTGTTTGCACTCATTTTCAGAGCTGGAAACTGTGAGTGTCATTACTTATAAAACTGTAGATAGATTAATGATGATTCATTTTTGAAAAATATGAACAGGATATGGAGCTACTAATACAGTGCAATTTCTTAACGTTTGACACCTCATTCACTTTGTTTTCAGGCGAACTGCTGTCGTCGCTTCGAGGAGAAAAGACTGTGGATAAGAAACGTATCATATTAGATAGCTATGGATTAGATATAAATCGACCACGACGACCATTGCCGGAATGTAGAATTGGTGTGTTTCTTACTCAACTATGTTTTTGATTCCATACATTGAAGCAAGATTAACCGTCAACGGTGGAGTGCATATAGCTGACTGTTGAGTCCATCAGAATAGGGTTGCGTTGATGGGCTGTAATGTCCACATAAAGTAGTAATGATTTTAGCCCAAGTCGTGCAGCGGGTGGCTTTCGGCGACCATCAAGAAGCATGTGACTTGCCTCCACCACCACCTCATCCTACGGATGTTGTGTCGGTTAGTCTTATTTTGTCCTGTTCGCAGTTCAGATCTTATTCCTGATAATTGAGTTGGGTAATTCGATTGGATTCAACTATTTCAATCTAAATTACCTTCCACATGGTGCTATAAGAACACAGCATTTCTCGTGAGATGCTAGGATTCACTCATAACTGCACAAGCAAGTAAGGTCGTATCACGATCAAATTTGTGAGACACCGTAGCGGTTCTAAATAAGTCTAACGAATATGTTGTCATGGATTTGCAACGTGGATTTGCATGCCTTCCAGGTTCGAAAGCTGATGCGTTCGAAAATGATTCGCTGTAAGCGATGCAAGAATCGTTTCATCGAGAGGAACATTTACGAACGGCATTTAAGGGACAAGCACCCTGAAGATTATACGGTGTATATTGAAGAGCAGGTGAGAGGAAAAGCATGTTGTTATTGTGCTCCATAGCAATGCTGTAGGTTAACATCTTAATGTCTTCTGTAAATAGGAAGCAGAAATGGAGCAACAACGGCAGGAGGAGATAGAAGCTAATCGCATAGAGGAATTACAAACCGGTGGATTTATCCCACCGGAATCGGAGATCGAGGCCTCAACTTTTGAAGTGGACGTTGAGGGGTGCGTGTTGCTGTTACCATTACTTAGTAGCTAGCTCAATTTTGCAAACGAGCTTTTCTTGACTTTCTTCATAGTTTCTCTTCGCCTGTAAGTTCGACGGACTCATTTTACTTATATCCTCTTTTCTTTAGAATTCCCCTTCCCGGTGAGAACAATGGTGGCGTTGCTCCCCGTTTTGACCAGTATGGAAGATTAAAACAACTTAAGCGACCCTACAAGAAGAAGGTAAAGCTCATTCTGGAATCTTCGCTGTTGCTAATGAAACAACCTAATCCACTTTTTAGATATCTCCGCAATGCCCTTTCTGTGATAAACGGTTTCGCAATGAATACTCGTTAAAGAAGCACTTTATCAAAAAACATTCTGAAATGGTTGAGTTCAAGCAGTGTACTCGGTGTTTCAAATGCTTGAAAGATGAAGAAGAAATGGAATCTCATCTCTGTGAATTAGTGAGTTTATTAATTTGAAGCGTTCACTGTAGAGATTAGTCCTCCAAATTTCCGTGCCCGCTTCAAATTTCGCTTGCAGCAACGCTGAAAGTGTGGTTAAGGAATTGCTTTCAAATACAACCTGGTATCATGTTGGTTTGCCATGTAACGCCATTTTCCACCCAATCGGGGCCAACTAATTAGGAATGAAGCATAGTTAAGGTCGTCAGAACTATTTTGTTTGGAGAAGGAAGTAAAGAGAAAAATTCTATCCAGGTAGTAAGAACTCTCCATGTTACTACTTGCCTTGTGCTTTGGCGACTTTTTCCTAGTTTCGCATGGGTCACCATACTATTGTACATACTGTGATCAAGAATCTCATCTAACGATTTACAGAATTTATTTTTGAGTGTTTCACAAGTATGCTGGGCTGTGAACAAAACTTTCGTCCCAGGCGGGGCATTTTTGAGTCTTTTTTATTGTTTCATTGATGTGTCGCTTGGTTGTACTTTGTTTGTCAACTTCTTTACTTTAAGACGTTTGTCTGCTTCGAATGCACGCCTATTCGAAACCTATGCAGTGATGTACGCTTATTAAATCATCGGAAGAAGTTTCATCGAGGTGAGATGGTGGGAGGGTTATTTTTGTGGTGTAGAGTTTTTGTAGACGTTCATGTTGTATTACTCGAGATTGATTAACAAAGTTCCAAATTTTTAATGATCATCACTATATCGAATAGCCACCTGATGTTGGAAAGGCTCAACGGCGAATTCTGCTAATTTCTATCCTTTCTGCGCATACCAAAAATTTTTAAGCTAAAAGTTATTCTTGACCAAGACTGAATCAATTATTATATAATGTTGTTGTACTTTTTTTTCAGGCGCAAATTCTGGATTCAAATGTAATCTATGCAATCTGAAGTTCTTAACACCGAGAAAATTGCGTAAACATAAAAAGATGTCGCATGTTTTCACAAAAACGTACCAGTGTCATTTCTGTGAAGAGATATTCATCAGCGAAGTGGCAGTAAGTCCCTATGTTTTCTCTTTATTCTTGCTGTTTCTAAGTAGTGCGAGCTTATATCCGTAGTCGGTTATCTCGGCGAAGATTTGTCGTTCTTATCCAGGTGATGACGCACGAACGGATTCATACTGGCATTATTAAATTCGAATGTCGGATTTGTGACTTCAAAGCCAATCGCTTCATTCAAATGGAGGAGCATCGTAAAAACGAACACGGTTACATTTGTGCGATATGTCAAGAACGAATGGCTGAGTGGAGTGACATGAAACATCATACGCTGCTGAAACATGGTGGTTATTTGACCACAGAGCAGAACGCAGGTGAGCTCGACTTCAGGAACATTTGTCATGGTCACCTTAATAGTTACAGGGGCAAAATTTTGGTAACAGCGAGTGCGCGCATTCAAACTCCCTTTATTCCGCTTTCCTCTCACATTAGGGATAATGCGTTAGAGGACAGTGTCTTCTTCCTAAGAAACCAAACGTCATACAGCTATCGAAATTAGTGAGCCACCCATATCATTGTATGCCAATCCTCAAATTGGACCGACACGGGAAAGCTCTTGTGAGTAATGGTTGAACGTTTCATTAAGTTAGGAGCCACATGAGATGGAAAGAAAGAATAGAATATAAATAAATAATAATAATAGAGTTACCACTAGGACAAATATCAAATGCAGAAGCATATTCTTCCTTGCGACTTGACCGCCAAATTGAAAAAAAATGGTGCAAAAGACCAGTGCCTTTCTGAAGAGCCAATGGCTGGTGTTCATGAGGCAAAAATCCTGCAGGAAGGGTTTTTGTGTTCATAATCTTCTAACTGTTACCTAGAAAACACACACCGAACTGCGTTGTATTTTTTGCATGATGATAAACTTGGAGGCAGGAGCAAACTGAAACCCAAAAAAAGTTTGTTCCCTGCGGAGGGCACAAAAAAAGAACTTGGCTTCATCTGAAGGCCTGTATTAATACAGCAGTTGATAGATTTCACCCATCCTAGCTTTGCTTTGTGGAAAACGTTTTCGAAGTGACTCATTTCAGGCTTTTAGGTTTCGTTTAAGTGAAAAGTCTTGGTTACCATAATTTTGGCCCAGGTTGTAGACTGCTAGGTACATTAGTCAAGGATAGAGAGTGAACAGTTATGCGAGAAAAGATTTTTATGTGGTAATTCTTACTTAGTAAACATGGCCTACCTTGGCGTGGTTTTCATCTCAACCAAATTTGATTTTATGAATGTTTATACAAGGGCTAAAGGAATTAGAGAGCGGCGTCTTTGTGTAGTATTGTTGAGAAGCAGCACCCTACCGTACCCTCGACCATTGTCGGCCGTGGCTTCTTCTCCTCATCTTTGGGGGCTTACCTGAATTCGGTCAGATACACACAACACCTCTCACCATAACATTCTTGAAACGGCAAATTCCACCAACGTTTTTCAGTATTTTTCTGAATCTCGCCAGATTGTCCCAACCTCAAAAAAATTTCCGTACCTCCCGGAGATAAACCCATGTTGCCAAGTATGTCTTCCTTAACAAAATTACCGAAGGCGATCCCTTCGTATCACTAGATTAGGGGCGGCGTTCAGCCTGCTTGTTTCGCCTAGTCATGTTGGCTATCATGAGAATTTTTAACGGTACCCCCTTCTGGTGCTTGCTACCACTTTTTCAAACGGTCATCGTTTAACCTGCCGGCTGGCAGTAATCAGTGCTCAGCCAGTCACTGTGATAAAATTAAAAGATTGAATTGATGCTGGTTGCCGGTGTAATGTCATATATGCGAACATAAGATACTGTCGATACAATGGAGCAGAGTTGTCACAGGGGCCAGTAATTGCAAACTATCACAAGCTTCACATTCCCATTTCAATCAATTCTATTGATATTAGCTTGGCAGTTGAAAGGTCGAAATAACTGAAATTAAAACGAGTTCAGCGGTATTCACTTGTAGTTTTGTCTGCAAACTCTTCGCGAACGGTGCAATTCCGTCTACATTTCCCCAATTTGTCAGACAGACTCCAAAGTGATGTTTAGTAGGGCACTTTGTTACTGTCGCAGTACTTGTTGCTAGAGTAATACTCGACTAAATGGCTCACACAATTTATCTAAAAAAGTAGAGCAGGTGGCAGGAGCTAACGCCTAATGCAGAGGTTTTTGCGGTTTCTACTCATTAAGTGTTTGAATTTGAAGACATAAATGAAGAAAGGTTTCATTTTAAAATCACATTTTTCGCGGCAAAAGTTAGTGCACCGATTATTGGTTGTCGTGTCAGAAACGTGCTCTTCCTTTGTAATAGAGTTTTTAATTGAATCCGTGGATTGCGATATAAACACATTCCAGCTGCTGCATGAAAAGTTTAGACCGTACTCGCTATTGATGGTGGCTCAAAACAGATTCTGCACCGTGTGCCGTTCAGCCTAATCGAAATTGTCGTCTCCTATGCTTTATGTCGCTTTCGTGGGACTTTTCGTTTAGTAAACCGATTCTGCAAACGAAACACGTTGGGGTAGCGCGTTTCATATTTTATTAAGTTGTGCAACATCTTTATGCATGTTGATTGACTACTTCTTTTGTACTTTTCGTATGCTGTCTCGAGGACATTAGTTTAACACAAATTGTGATCGCTGAGTAGAGGGTACATGAAAATTTGAGCCCTGGTTATGATATAGGGTAAAATATGTATATAGGTTATGATATAGGGTGCCGTTGATCAATCCCTTTTTGGGATGCAGCACGCATTCAACTTCCATTTCTTAGTGGCGTTTGAATGCGATTGGCCCATACAATGACTTGCGGGGCCAGCCGATGTACAATTCAGTGTTTTTGTCCTCCCAGACAAGTTTGATACCAATTACCGACATCGGTGGGAAGAAAGGCTGAATCGCCCGGACGACTCACGACCCAGGATTTGATCCCCAGACCGCTCGCATGGTAGGCGTGCCACTTGCCACTACACCACTTCCGCCCTCTGGTTAACAACGCAGCGCCGCTGGTTATGATATTCCACGGTAATCTTGAATTTTCAAACGTATATTAACTCTCAGCAGACAAGAGCAGCTCTTTTTGACCATTTGTGATGTTTATACCAGTGTAAGGCAGAGAGCAGTTAAGGTAAAATATATGCCGCTTTAAAAGGTGCAAGTGGATCATGGCAAAAAGGGAATTCCCTGTTAGTTTGAGGGTGCGAAATGATCTTGACGTTTGTCAAGGTAAACTGGCCATCTAGAATTTTAGCGCAGGTGTGAAATATCATCGTTATCGTGTGTGGCATGCAAGTGGTTCCATTTCTGCTTAGTTGATTTTCATGTCTACTGTTCAATAAAGTCTATTATTAGATGTGGCTCCATTTCTGTAAAGCCTTTAGCTCGTTCAGAGCTAGTCCAGTAAAGGCTTTTCGTACGAATGCTCCGCCGTTTTGGTTCTTCTTTTATTGCTGGTTCTGCATTAAGTATAGCTGTTCTGTGTCTTTTTTGGAATGTTTATCCCTTTCGTTGATTCCAATGATCCATTCTGTAAGGGTTCTCGTACAGAGCAGTGAGCTTTCTGAGGCAATAAAGGCTGTTAAGATTTTTGAAATAAGAGGCATTGTAGCCTTTTATGAAACTCGTCGGTGCCAGTAGACTATCATCAATAGCTTCTATTTCACTGCACCTGCAGCTGGTTAATTTGTATGTTTTCAGGATACATTGAAAGCCCTCGTGTGTGGGTCCTATTCAAAGGCGAATGATGCGTTTTCCGCAGTCTCTCTTCTCTTCCTACGCATCTCTGTCCATGAAGCTACCGCACAAAGCTCAGCTTTATTATTATATTGCACAGCCATTGTTATGGTTTCCCTGATTATTGTGTCATTTTTGCTATGTTGTTACAGTGATTCACGTCCTCATCGAGGTTGTTACATGTTGTTCATGGTTGTATATGCTGAGTTGAAATTTTTCGTACATGAAATGAGGTTTATTCAATGACATATTGTTATTAATAACATATGTTGAGAGTGACAGATAAAAGGATTACTCAAATGTGCAGGTGAATACGGACGTGATCGTGTGAGCAGTTTAAGAAGCACGGGAGAAAAGGCGCTCCATCGCAAATGATGTCACCCGACCGCGACGCATGCATGTAGCGTGGGGGTGGGCGTGTCTTTGGTCGCACGCTCTATACGTCCGTTCGACGCACGAGCAGCACCGAGAGGGACCCTCTTTGTGAAGAGGAGGACCTCAACGGTCTTCTATACCTCGGATATGGATGGAAATCCAAATCGGCGGCTTGAGAAGGTATGCCCGATAGTCTCGTATAGTTTAACACTTCTAAATTGGCCGTGAATTGTGTCAGACTATGGCGTACGATTTCAATTGTGAGGATAGGGATTTCGTTGTGTGCAGGCGCCCTATTGTATCGTACAGTTCTGCACAGATTTGTTTTTTATTCAGTATAGCTACAGTGTATTCCTATGGGATCGTGTTGCGTTTGTTTATCCGGCGACTAGTCGCACTGTTGCCGTGACTTTAAGCGGATTCGATTTGCCCTTTCTCAGTGTAGCCACTTCTTCAACAAAAAAAAATGCTGTGAGCACGATGCCCATCTCAAAGATGAATCATCCTAGTTTTTTCTTGTTGTCATCGTCGATTTTCATGAATTCTAGGTTGGACTATATCAAGTAGGACGAGCAATTGGTCGTGGTAATTTCGCCACTGTTCGATTAGCTAGGCATGATATCGCAAAAACTAAGGTTCTTTCCAAATTTAATGTGTGCCGTCTGTTTTGACATTTTTGCTCATAGTGGCATAATTCAGGTTGCACTGAAAATAGTGGATAGAGCGGCGCTTGATGAAGAAAATTTGATACGATTAGAACGTGAAATGCAGATATTAACACGTGTAAATCATCCCCATATAGTGAAACTGTATGAGGTCAGTTTGCCGTTACTTTCTACTTTGTTTTTCTTGAATCAAATGTCTAAGCTTTGCTACATGTTTTAGTTGACACGTTGACGACATTGTGCAGCGCATGACGCATCACAGCTGAGGCACGTGTGTGGAGCGTGTGCAGCGCATGCGCTGCACACACAAATTATTAAATTTTTTCGCGATGCGCTACTCTTTTTCTAACTTCTTGCCATTATTCTATAGACCACACCATAACAACTGACTAGCAACGGCGCAGGTTCATCGAATGGTTGAATATACTCCTTTTAGCAAAGTTCTTCCAAGTGCTTAGAATTCCCAATTGTGTTCATTCCTAGTTTCTTTAAATTCTGGCAACTCGGTCATAAAAAAGAGTAGTAAAAGTAAGTATAGACCTACAGATACAGCAAGATACAAGTTTTTAGTGAAGCAACCGAGTCAAAAATAATTTGAGGTTCATTACAGCAAGAGCTACCGCAAATTGCCTTTTTATTGCCAGAAAACGTTCATTCGATTGAACTTTTACAGTTGTTCCTTCTGAGAAGTTTGATACGTCAAATATCATTCGAAACATTTTGTTGCATTCGGGTTTTGCATAATTAAAGCTCAGAATTCACGGATTTCATGTGAAGCGGCGGCGCCTGCAAAATCGCTCTGGTCCCACGCGGTGCAAAAGCCCAAAACACGCGTTGTCGTCAACGTGTTAATGAGGATAATTTGTTTTTCTTGAATCAAATGGTTAAGAGTTGCTATGTTTTAGATAATGAGGACCGAATCGTCAATTTATATAGTAACGCAATATTGTAGTGGTGGTGAACTATTTGGTAGCTTGGATATTACTGGACTTTCATTTTTTGCTCATTCATTAATCATTTTGCAGAAATTTTAATAGAACGTGGTAGGACGGCAGAAGATGAAGCACGGCGATGGTTTGGACAGATTGCGTCCGCCGTTGCATATTTGCATCATAAGGGTTCGTTTGTTAAAACGATGGCGTCAGCAGCTTTTATCTAAAAATGTTTATTTAAAAAATATAAGTAGTCGGTCATTTGAGAAGTGTTTCAATGATTAAGTGCTGCTTCACGTATAACTAGACAACCATCTACCGTCTTTCGAAATGCGTGGTTACTTAAAAATAATATAGCAACCCATGTTGCTTTGGAACCTCACTGGATGCCATGGATTTTCAACTGAAAAGCCTCACTGAACGTCTGCGTAGTTTAGAATGTATTTAGTGGTGTATGGCTTTGGAAGGATTGGTGCTAACGGAAGTCCACACCCTTCCGTACTTAGAAATCACAGCGCTCTTTGCCCAGTCCTGCTTTTTTTTCGGAATTTCATTGCTTGCCTTTTTAACAATATGAGGCTGGGCTGTTCTGAATCTGCTCAGCCACACATTTTTGGTTTTTTAAATGTTTCTATTTTTTTTTAAATTAGACGAAGATGATTTCTAGTGGAGTGTTATAATCTTCTTTTCAGGCATTGTTCACCGTGATTTGAAAGCCGAGAACATTTTATTGGATAAAAATAGTAATATTAAAATAATTGGTAAGCCTGTTTGGTTTCTTTGGTTTCTTTTTGAACTCGTCTTGGTTCATGGTGCTTTCCTACAGATTTCGGTTTTTCGAACACCCAAGCCCCGTCGCAGTTATTACGGACATGGTGTGGCTCACCCCCTTATGCTGCTCCAGAACTTTTATTAGGTTCGCATTTACTTCTGAATTTCTATTATCCAAGTAGTCTTTTCCTTAAATCTCTTCTGTACCTCAAGTGAAAGGATCCATTTGTTCAAGGTAAAGAATACGATGGTCTGAAAGCCGATATCTGGTCGCTGGGCGTCATTTTGTACATTCTCGTCACTGGTGGCTTCCCGTTTCCTGGCGACAACGTTGAGAATCTGAAACGAGCCGTGTTGTCGTGTCAAATGAAGATCCCGTATTGGGTGTCTGTCGGTTTGTGTTTGGTTCTCGTAACTGATCATGTTGTTTACTGTGTGACGTACTTTGTGCTTTGAGTCGATCACCGTGTCGCTCTTTGGTGTGTACATAAGTCCATAGCATTGACTTGAGTGCATTATCTGAATCAATCGATATGTTGGATTCGGGGCTTTTTATATCCATTGTAGTAGGATTTGTAAACTTCCTGACGAAATCTCTTTCAGAGTGCGCCGATTTGATTAAGAAAATGTTAGTGTTCAATCCATTCAAACGTTGCGGGATCAACGCCGTCATGCAGCACCGGTCAGTCGTCGTTTATCACATCTAAACATAAGCGTCAGATTACAGAGTCGTATCTGTGAGGGCGTATTGAAATGGTGTGCACGGTGATATGTTACGCGATAAGATTGAGACTATGCTTCTCCCATTTCGTTGAAGATCAGTCGCTCCTTCGAATCAGGACGACTTGATGTTATCGCCCATGTCGGTGCTTGTTTATTGGTCTATGCCCCTCTACATTCCGGTGGATCCTAAATACGGGAAGGGGGTTTCTAGTAAGGGAGGCAATTAGCTGCAGAGTTCTCAAGGTATTTGGAAATAAAGCCAACATTTTCTACCAGTCAGTCAAGGTGGGAGAGAGGACTATGCGAAGAACTAAATGTATGCCAGGATGAGAATTTTTGTGTCAGCTTAGGGGAATTACTTTTGCGAAGGTTGCCTCTTCTCCCTTCTCTCTGGGAATGCGCTATTTGGTTCTTACTTGTAATAGTACTTAACTGGAAATAAAAAACCATTTGGTACGGATATGCGTGTTGCGGAGAAACTATCCTATGACACCCATGGTTTTTTACTTAATGCTATTCACGAGAACGTGAAAACAAGCCAATTGTCGCAAGTAATTTGGCTCCTAAATACTTCACCCCACGACATTTGGATTTTAGGTGGCTAATAAATTGTCAGTCGGCGCAGACCCATCTGATGGTGAAGAATAGTATGCTAGCATCGGCTGCATCAATGCCGGAACGACGATCGTTAAAGCTGAATCCAACGATTTTATTGTTTATGCAGCAATATGGGCGATGGACGGAGGAGCAAATAGTTGACGTAAGATTTAATTGTTTTTTTAGTCCCCTTCTTAAAGCCTTTTTTATTTAAGGAGGTTCTCAAGCAAAACTTCGAGAGTTCAATCTTTGCTACCTACGAATTGTTGTGCGATAAAGTTGGAAAGAACTCCTTAGAAGGTTTGTGTCTTCATAGCATGCAGTATTTCATGCGATATCACAAGATACGGGGGAATCTTCTAAGGCTAAGCCCTGGAAAGGGCAGCAGCTTTTGAGAAAATGAAAATGGCAACGCGCAATCGGGAGTTTTTCATCACAGCTTACGGCTTAGTCCGTTTTTTCTTCCAAAAAAGGAGATAATCAATGCGGTTCTAAATGCATGGCCACCACAATGCCAGTATCTGCGACAGCACGTTTTTCAAATTGTTCGCAAAGGGTAATTGGTGCTGAAATAAATGCACGGTTGAGAAAGCAAGTATCCTCAAGTGGTACACAAATTTTTTTGTCAAATGAAAAATGGGAAGTAATGAGCGATTGGTGCATCACAGAACGAGCGATAGGGTCTGTTCCAGTTAGGAGGGGCATTGCGATGTACAGTCTGCTCTTATGCCATTTTGGCTCACGAAGTCCTTCAAAGTTCCAAACTGTAATCAGCTTTATTCCTACGTTGTTTCTTTTGATTTTTCACATAATGTATGTGTTCTTGTGTTTTATGACATGAACTTTTATGGAAAATAATATTTACTAAGTGATCAGCAAGTAATAAGCCTAGGAAAGGAAAGGGAGGCCCTCCCTAGAAAGCGAAGATTGCTGACGAACCCGTATGTTTTCTCTACCTTTTGAAACTTACTCCTACACCTCTACTCTGGGAGAACATGCTATTCGTGGTGTCAAGCACGTTGAGCGCCCTAAACCGCATGCCCCCCCTCCTCCGAATGGAATAGACTCGAGTACAATTTTTGGATACCGTGGTATTTATCAATTTTTACTCTTCCCAGACAGTTCTTATTTCATAGGGTGATTTCTTTACAATTACCGTTGTATTTCTTTTGCTAGGTGTCATATTTTAGAACGAAGGATCCCTACAACCAACCGCATTGTCACTCTCTTTTCATTATCTTTTATTTATAAAGATCATTCCGTCCCACAGTTGAGCAAAATAAAGTATGAGGGCTGACTTTGCAGACAAAAGAGAAAAAAAATGGCGTTCTAATTTCTGCGAAATGATGAGATACGCAGAATGAAGGCGCTAGCTTTTCGTAGAATGGAGCAGTTCGCAGAAACTCTTTCACCGCGATGGCCCGTCTCTTGTGGTAGCGCCCACATTTGTTTTCTTTCTAGACCGAAGAAGCCATGAATTGCAACTAGAGGCGACGTTGGTACGTACTTTCCAGAGGCGATCAGGTTCATCCACACTAAGGTCATCCATTTCTCAGTCTGTTTTGCAGAAGCGCAACAAAGCGCGAGTGCAAGCGCTACTGTTACTGTGTTTCTATTTAATTTTTTGTCAGACTTTTTCCAAACGTGCGCTTTTGTAATACATACTGTGTAACAGGAGTTTTGGGACCAGCTCGAGCCAGGGCGACAAACTTAATAGAATGAAATGATGGTGCTATGATAATCCATGTTAATTTCATATTGTGGCTGATCGAAGACATTTAGATTCCAACATTTGAGTGTCTACGATTTCATCATCTAGTTGAGTGGTGTTTTCAGGAACTAGTGATGACCATCCCAGGCGTGGTTCACGTGGATCGATTCTGAGTGGAAAAGCGAATGTAGAACCAGAATCCGTTACGCCTACGATCTCTGCCCATCATCTCGCCCAGCTGAACTTGTCAACAAGTTTTGAATGCGTTAGTTTGAATAGTTTATTATTTTTTTCATGAATGTATTATACATTGTTATCAACGTATCATGTTTTAATTATTTTCGCTTGTGTTAGCTTTTGATTTTTACATGACCTTTTACATTTGGTTCAATATCGCTTTTTAATGGATTTCCAATAAGTTCCTGTTTGAGGATTCCGACGACTCATCCACCTCTGACATTTGTGAAGATTCGCCATCAAGTTCAAGTCGAAATCGAGCTCGTGGACGGTGTCAATTCGGTGTTGCAATGAAACAAGAAGAAGGCAATCGAAACGAGCATAGGTTTGGATATGTTAATTATTCGCAGATCTAAACAGAAGGGTAATAAGCCGTTTGGCGTTGATCAGTTCCATTCTGGGCAACGCATTCTTGTCCAGTATAGTCGTAGTGGCATCTCGAATGCGATTTGGCTCACGCAATGACATGGAAGCTGCAGCCGATGTATAAGGCAGTGTTTTAATCCCCTGGGCAAAGATTTAATCCCCTGTCTAAGAACTTGCCGCTTGTGTAAAAAGTATTGCTTAACTTGAGTTTTTTTTAATCAGTGTCTCCGATTTATAACTGATTTGGTTTCTGACAAATTATTGCAGCGCATCTATGAATGCATAGTAATAAATAAACCAATCAAAGTGGACATGAATTTAAATATTCTATTTTGAATTATATGTGATTTGTTGTCACTTGCATCGTATTCAGGAGGCATACGTTATGTGCAAGCGAACAAATTTTGTCACCAGATATGATGGCACAACTTCCCATCGGTTCGCCACTTCATCAGGTTCTTTAGTAATTTATTAAATAATCAGGTTCTTTAGTAGTTTCTTAAATAATCGGCTGTTTTGGTTACCGTTACTTCTTACTTATTATTTGGTTCATTAGGGAGATTCAGCTTGTGAAATCACTCTGTAATCAACGTCGAGTTTAGTTTCAGGCGGCCCTCAACCACTCAGCGCTTACCGATGTGATCAACAATCCAGGTGGGACGAATCTATTAACCTCGCCTCAACTGCCTTTGTTCCCTGGCCTACCACTTTTGCCGATTTTGGACTACACACGAATGCTGCCAGTTCCAAACAGTAAGCCACTGCTATGCACATACATATTTTTAATTGCTTTTTTGTATAATTTTCTTTTTGCAAGGTGTTCTTTATTTATTTCCTTTTATGTTTGCTTTTAATAGGTGAACGACGTGCTTCTGCTGGCGAAAATCTCTTGAATCCGGGTGCTATAGATAGTATGAATCACAATGTTCAATCCACTCCAACGGGTAATGTAACTGGGAGTGTTGAGGAAGAAGGAGAAGGGTAAGTAATTCAACGCAAGCATCTCAGCAATTTCCATGTTAGGCATTTCTACCATTTACTGATATCAGTCCATATCAGGTACCTTAACAAATATGCCGGTAAAAGGAATACAGTGCATGGCGCATCGTCACCGTTCGGTCCTTCATCTCCAGTGCCACGGCATAGTCCGTACACGAAAGCGTCATCTACAGAAAGGTGTCTTTTCTTTTCCATTACTATACTACTCAGTGATATTTACTGTCAGAGGTCTTTCTCTTAAGGCGTAGTAGTTGGGCCTCGCCAGCAATCACAGCTCAGCAGCACCAGCAATTAGAGCGATTGTATCGACAGGCGATATCTAGTTCAGGTACATCAAACTTTTTAATTTGGCAGTTTTCCATGTTTGTTTGTTATCTATTTTTTTGTTGATTCCTTATTTAGTTAACTTCGTCAATCTGAGATACTGGGCATTTTTTTTGAATCTCGCAATGTTTACAGCGCTTTTTGATTCGTAGTACCAATGTCTCCGAGCAAAAATTGCCTTGGCACATGTTGTAGTAACAGTGTCGTAGCCATCTACTTTCATTCGTTCATCGAAAAGTTAAAACTAGTCGAACAAGGTTGTTACTAGGGCATAGCGCTATTGCAGATGCTGCTGTTGGTATTTATTTATTGTCGTCTTTTTCTGATTTTTGAACTTGTGGCTCGTAAAGAAAGGAATGGATTCCATCTAGGAAATTCGTAGCTCTTTTTATAATATCCTACGTGTTGGAAAAGAAGTCACAACAAAATGAACGATTATCTAACTATGACAGCGACGAAACGTCGTTTTTTGCGGCCACCCATCTTTTTTTCACAAATTCGCATCAGTAGTTACTCCTTCACCAATAATTTCATTATTGCTGAGAAGTGTACTACTTTTTGTATCATCAATGAATATCGGCAGTTTCGGAACTCAAAAATGGAGCCAAAAAACGGTCTCCTGCAAGTGAAATTGTGAGACGTAGATGTCCCGCGCTTCGTCAATGTGTTAAGCTTTTCAATGTTGAAAGAGGATACGTTACCACCTACCCAGTCTCAGTGTGAATTCCTTCCGCAGCGAGAAAGCATTACATCCTTTCGTTCTGCCTGGTAGTGGTCACATCCGTTTTATGCAAAGAAGGCACTGATTGTACCGCGGCTGACCAATGTGATTCATTGTATCAACCAGATGTGCTCACAGTTCTGTCAGTTCGAATATGTGACTCATACTCAAGGCATACAGTATCTGACCTAAGCATTTTCTACGTTCCACATTTACGCTCTAGTGGAACCGCCCTAAACTTCGTGGATTAGAAGGGAAAGTTTGAGTGGTTATGTATAATTTATCTATTCACTATTTCGTCCCGCCTGGGGCGAAAGTTTTGTTCACAACCCAGCATACTTGTGAAATATTCACTATTACCTTCAACGTGCGCCTATTGCAGCCAATATGTGGGTTGTATACAAATGCAAACTTGACCGCTGCTATATCAAACTAAACTGAACGAGCAGATAATCACATACTTAACGTACGCCTAGGTTAGTGACGCAACCAGTACAGGAAATGATGAGCTACATCGTTTTATAAAGTGGCTTCCAAAGAAAAACAAAAATTATCAGTAAGTGCAACCCAATATTGTTAATCGCCACCAAGTCCTTTCCTTCCAACTTTTTTAATAGCTGGTGTGGTCACAGGAAGGCGTGCACACTTTGAGTATCGTTTTTTTCGGATTATGTTTCGATTTAAATACGTGCATTCTCACCCTATCGTCTCTGACGCTACGCGCGTGCATGACTCGTAGTTGAGAGTCGTCGTAATTGCGGACACAGCACCACACGTGTTATCGATTTTTTCGAGTTCGCGGCTACGCGTGCTACATAATTTGCAATTTTGATATGTTCATGCCGACGGATTCAGTTAATGATAGAAATTGCCTCTTTCTCGTTGTTGTGCAAACTCATAGCAACTATTTAGTGATAACTGGTATACAGCATATCTCGAAGTCTGATTGGGCGTGTCACCAGAAATGACGCAGCAGCAACCGCACTTGATAGAGGTCATGTGAATAAGGTGTTGTTCAAATGCTCAGCTGGATTTCCAACAAAGCATGCTGGAAATGGCTTATCTACGCAACTTTTATCAAGTGCGTGAACGCTACGTAAGTGTACGTGGATACGCTGCTTCTGGCCTGTCTTGCTACTTCCCAACGGAGAATGTTGGAAGCGATCTATCTGCGCGACTGCTATCAAGTGCAGCGGTCTCCACATCAAGTCCGTAGGACTTGAGCCGTTCGGACGGTGTGAGCACCCGAAGTCAGTGTGAATAATGATGTTCCAGCCCAGCGATGTACAGGGTGGTCCAAAATTATGAGGACCGCGTGCGCGCGCAGTCATATCCACTTTTTTGCGTATCGCTCCATTTTCATCTCATTTTCTGTGCACTTTGTGAGAGGGTACATTGTCTTCTTCTTAATGAAACCAAGTTTCATGAAGTTCTCAAAACTAGTGAAATAACTACTTCACTTTGAGTCAGTCCTCAAATTGAACTCACTAGGGGCTCTGGCACGTTACATCTAGCAGCAGTCTAACCTATCAGAGAAGCCCTTATGAGCAACAGTTCAACTCTTCAATAAGTTTGGAATCACCACTGATGGAAAATCCGGGGACTCGAAAGTTACAGTTACCACGAGGATAATTATCAGATGCAGAAACTACGTCTCCTCTTGTCGACTTTCGTACACCCAAAATGAAAAAAAAACGCCTTGGTTGCGTGCCACCGCACGCGCCTTCCCCTCATCCGAAGGCTCTGTTACGGGGGAAGTGGCAGATCTCAATTCTATTCTGGAATTACTTTGAGGTAAGAGTTACAAATACTTCCCAGAAGTTGGTTTGTTCCATTAAGCTACTACGCGTTTTTAACGACACAATGTCTTGGTCCTCATAATTTTGGGCCACCCTGTACAATGCGCGACACATTGACGCGTTGAATCTGCATTCTTTTCCCCTTCTCGTTTTCCCTGTCGTTCTCTCAACGAGGAGAAGATGCGTAGAGCAAACTCGCCAATTATATTAAGCGCCGTTGATGGTGGAGGTGGCGGATGGCTCGCATGTCAGGCTGGTCTCGCGTGGGATGGGCGGCACCCGGGGATTACTCCCCTTGCCGGCGCGCGAAGTGCGCGCAGTATCGACGCTTCTCTATTTTAGGACCGCTGCCCTGGAGAGCCGGTAGCAGATATCATTGTTTGCACAACCCATGAGCCCCCACAGTAACCCTCGTTGCCGCCATTCGCAACGGCCACGGCGAGAAGCATCCTAACGCACGCTGTATGGGCGAGAACACAGACGGCTCGAAGCATGCGAGGGTGAAATGTTCGCCTGCGAGAGAAACGTGTCGTCACGGCGAAACTGCGCAACGATGGCCGCTGAAAACTGCGCAACTCAGGTTGGCTCTGCCCCATGAGATCTGTTACCGCAGGGAGCGCGTCAATACGTCGCATTTTACGTGACTACGGATGAAACATCATAATTCACGCTGACTTCGGGTGCTCTCCCTGTCTAAACGGCTTATCTCAATCCGTAGACCCGCCTAATCAGACGGTCAGATATGAACTATAGTATATTTGTTGGTATGGTAATATATGTATAATTTATATGATGCCTGAGTCGAGCATTCAGGCGGTACCGATTTGATGGGCATCCAAGCTCTACAAAAGGAATTCCAGCGACTTGGGCAAATTGCTGCACAGGGTTGCAGTCCAACGTAGGTGGAATTTGAACTTATTCTGCTCCGATAGTTTTTTCTATTGCAGGATTACATTAATGCTAGGTTTTAAGTATGCTGATATTTGGTTTATTTGTAGTTGATATTTCCATAGGTTTTGCATTGTGATCATATGAAGGTTGTTTTCGTTCATAGGAATGTACATTGCTCTGGGCTGATCATTGAATTCGTTTTGACAATTACGAGAAATTTGTTCTTTGTTAACGCAAATCTGGTTATCGTTGAGACTGTTCACTTTATAGAATGAATTTGTTTTGTAGGGCGAGTAGATCACCAACACACTTCTTCGATCATCGAACAGCACAATTCGGATGTCCTCGTATCTCAATTACGGATGAGCATAATCGAAGCCTCGCACAAGGTTCCGGCTTATTCGATCCGGTTAATTTGTTTGAACAAAAGGTACGTTTCTGTCACGAGTGATATTCGAAGCAGGGACATCCATGGTGTCTGCTTTGTTTCAAACATACGAGCCCGCTACACTTAGGACTCTGTTCAGAATCTGTTAACTCCGCTTTCAAAATCCCAAAATCGTGGCAAGCATGGGTGGGGGTGAGCCTCATAGTATGGCCGTCAGAGCGAACGTCTCCAATTCAGTGCACTGATCGCATGTGACATCTAAATTTAGCGCATGTTGGTGCCATTTTGGCGCCATTACTTCGCCGATTTACACGAAATAGTACTAATTGAAAGTGGCACCAAAACTGATTGTGATGTTCGTAATCAGAGCACTGAATAACCCACATACTTTAGCTTACAGCGAATTTGGTGGAATCATATGTGACAACAAAGGCACAAAATCGTACCAAATGACGCGGATCGTATCATTATCAGCACACTCAGCTACTCTCATAGTTAGAGTTCAGATAAAAATGAAATTTTGAGATTTCGAGGTTGTAATAGTTATATAGTGCCAAAATTTACTTATGTTCCAGTTGTACGACCTTTTCCACCAAATGCGGCATTCTCTTTTGAAAGCATAAAATACGACCTCGCTTGTCTGATTTGGCTGGACGTACCATCGATCTTGATTCAAAGACTTGCCAAAGTTTACGCTATCACCTACTGTTGTAGTTGTTTACAGGTGAACGAGATGGTTTTCGGTCAGCGACCGGCTACAGTCATTGGGTTTGCTTCAACGTCGAAGTCGGGGACTTCTTCGCCTGAGCAGAACGTCAAGTTGGACGATAAAGACTGCATAGACGATAGAGTGAAGGTGCGTACTGGTTTTCTTAATTTTCGAGTTTTTTTGGTCTGTAAGTGGAAAAACATGGGATTTATCAAGGCAGATAGTCGAACATTAAATAAAATTGATAGCATATTTTGCATAATGCGAAGCGTCAAGTGTGGGAGAATGATTCCACACTGGATCTTCAAAACAATTCCAAACGCTGTGCGAGGGTCTGGATACTGGTTGAATGAGCTGAAGCAGTATGAGTATACATAGTGGTGACTTCCTGAGGTAGTGGGGAGGATATGGGTCTCTGCGTAATGATGACCTCCCGACGACACCAACGTTCGCCTGCTTGTCCTTGTGCCTTGATATCAGTCCCATTGATACTGCTTATTTCTCTAGAAGCCGTTTAGACAGAGTGAGCACCCGAAGTAAGCGTAAATTACGATGTTCCTGCCTTAGTCACGTACAACGCTCGTCGCATCGACCCGATTTCCGCAATGACAATCCTATAGGTTATTATGCTCACAATGAGGCTACCTCCGCTGGGAAGCAATCCAAAAATAGATGAATCGCTCACGCGGCGAGGCTGAACGCTTCGCGCGCAGGCTAGGGAGGTTATCCCCGGCTGGCGCGCTAGACTAGACGCGAGGCAACTCCGGCGTGCGTGCCGTCCTCCACCTTCTACATGGATGTATAGTTGGCGGGTTGGCTCGACATATTCTCTCTTCTTTGAGAGAGCGCGAAGAAAGCGAATAGTGGGAGGCGAGCACGCACTTCAGCGCGTCAATGCGTCGCGCATTGTACGTGAATACAGCAGAACATTATAATTCACGCTTTACTTCGGGTGCTCGCTCTGTCTAAATGGCTTAAGTCCAATTCGAACGATGGAGCAGCGATACGGGATTCGGCTATGTGGCGAAATGGCGCGGTCAACGTGCGAATGGGAGGGATTCATGCCGGTATCCCTACTCTTGAATCGTTAGTGCATCATTCGAACCGCTGGCGCATCTATCCCACAATGCGCTAGATTCGCCAAGTCTGACACCGGCCATATTCGCAGTGATATGAAGGGAGAAGGTAGCCTTGGGCGCGAGCAGAACAAAGTGAGGTTCCATCAGGATGCCGTCTACACATTGTTTTGCATCGGATCCCTTAGCTGATTTTTCTATTTCAGAGTTTCGTCTCCACTCTCCCTCTGGTCGATGTGGTACAGGAGTTGAAAAATTGTTTAAACGAAATGCAAATTCGCTTTGAGGAGACAAATGAGGTTGTATATATGGACCAGGGTAGGTGTTTAGCTATATTTTTTCAACTTAGATTTCTTAAATTTTATCCGCCTACGTATTACCCTCAGAAATGCGTCGCTTATCACTCTCAACCGGCGTCGAAATCGGTTGTGCTACCTTGCCTCCAGAACAAAAATCGCATGTGGAATTTGCGATAGTCGCCGGCGATTCGCCGACGAGTGAGTTACTTTGTGATGAACTAATCTCGAGGTTGAGAACATTAGACCCAACCGCATTATCAGAATAAGGTAAACATGCTCTGTGTCATTCATACACTTATCGCGATTGATTGTTGTGGTAATGTTCTCACCATATTGGGTAGAAGCAAGCGCGGTAAAAAAGCTATAGTGATTTTGCCTCAATGATGATCGCCGATCTTCGTCGTAGTCTTTTTCGGAGCCCTAGTCCATCTTTCCAACCATCATTGGTTGTACATGTGATTTGTTCTTCCGTCATAAACGGACCGCTTGCATGCTGTGCACCTGGTCGTCATTCTCAATTTTACTTCATCGCCTTCAAACTGTGTATATGTCATGCTTACCATAATTATTAATTTTTTTGATTCTTTTCCATTACACAAATGGTGTGTGTCCCATAATAATAGATTTTGAAATTCTTCCAAAACGTTTCAATAGGTCATATTGTCACTTACAGGGTTCGTGCTAGACTCTTTGTTGTCATACGAGATGTAATAATAACTAAGCGATATGTGATTTACGAAACGATTCGTTACCAAAAATCTAGCTTGTCCCATTCTTTATCCCATACACGTTCATCTCCCCTCACCGTTAAAAGCGCGGTTTCAATTCTCTCGAGCTGTGATCGTAGTGAGCTTGCGCGATCGTTTTTTTTCGGTTTTTGTATAGCTATCGGCTCCGATCTTTTACTTAGTCATGAAATATTGTGATATTAATGTGGAAAAGGTTACTGTGAGGTTTATTATTCGTATTTCATACATTTCTTGCCAGTTGCTCTTGATGCTGAGGCGCATTTCTCGCACTTTTTTGCGCACGCCCGCGTGGCCACTAGTTATTAATATAAATACATGTACATGATGAGTAATAACTCAAATGAAATGAAATAAATATGACACATACATTCTTACAAGCACAGCATCAAGTGAACAGACAATTATGACATTTGCATGGAAAACATTGCTTAAGTGCCACAAAAAACCATTGCGGTACTGTTGAAAGCAAGTCTCGCCATAGTACGGCGATCATGTGACGCGCGCGGTCGTGTTGGCGCTCAAATACATGGAGTAGCAGTGGCACGGGTAGGGTTGAACGGATTTTCAGTAATTGAAGTGATTGGAATGTGAAAAAAGCTCACTATTGTTCACATCTCCCCTTCTTACATTCAAAGCATTTCAACTCGAATATCAGATCATTATCTTCTTACTCTGCTCCAATCCTCATCGAATTCTACAGACAAAAATTTGCCAGTGACTCGATCGGGACCAAGTAAGACGGCCCACCACCGCGTGCGCCCAGGTTCTGCTATGGCATGATGCGAGCAATAGCCTTTCAGGAAAATTATAATGAATTTCGCCCTATTATTTATCTACGCGTTTCACTAAGAGTTAATGCTCAAGATCCGCTGCAACACCATAAATCCAAGTACTCATCTCAATTTAATACATCTGTGATAGTTATCATTATTACTGACGACTAATCCTATCAAAATGAGGAATAAAAATCTGGAAATGTAAAAATCATATTGCGGTGAGGTACACACGTAAATCACTACCCGTTCTCGGATCGAAATCCGTAACAAAAACAGTTGGAATGCGATCACGATATGAACGTTTGAGCTCAAGAAAACTGATACGTTCGTCTGGCCAGAATGCATGAGCACTAAGCTTCGGCCTTATTGTCGTCCATTTTGCAGCAACCACGATCCTGGCGGAAGCATGTTGCACCGATACATCCCACCCATGGTCGCCCTATCTCTGTAGCGTCCAGGAAGCATGGCTCAACGACTACCTAGAACTGACACACATTATTTCAAGTAGGAGTCTTTTTTTATTAGGAAATTATATCGAAAAAGCAAAGCGGCAACCAAGTCTAACTCGCGCACGAGCAAAACAGTCTGTGATTAGCAATTAATTTGCTTAACCAGGGTATCTACGCAATCACGCGCTTTTTTGCGAGAAGGAAATTTCCATACCTTTTGAGCACCAGCCCTCGTCAGCACGCTCGCTACATTTTGACGGACCTCAGAATATCGCGCAGCTGCTTCGTCCGACCATTTTAGCTTTGACTTATCCACCTAAAGACGGAATTAGAGCTGATGTCCAGAAATAAAATAAAAAGAATAAAACAGAAAGGGACACACAGAAGCATTCCTATAAGGATCGTATTGATAAGAACTGCTTATCGTGGGTATAATTCACGCTGTCTGGTAAGAACCCTGACAGTAGTAACTTTTTAGTGGATCAATCTCTCAGAAAACCTTTGATGTTCTTATTTGGATTACTCGACAATTGCAGCCTTCCCTACACTAGGTTTCAAGTGTGTAGGACGCGCGCGGTTGCGGGGTGACCATAATAGGCCCTAAATGTATGCACCTTTCTCATTTGCATCTCCACTGCATATTTAAAATACCCTATTTAACGTGAAACAGTCAAAATTGCGGCACCGAAACTAACCAAGAAATTCAGATGAATGAGTGCTTCGAAAAGATTGCCAGGCCACAATCGATATGCGTGTATGTGTGTGCATGTGACATCGGGGAACTGAAAATTTTAACGTTCGGCTCAACATATGGTGGGAAACGAAGGCCATGAAGTAAAAAGCAATGTAAAACAGTAAAGATGAACTGTATTTAACTGATAAAACTCTTGAAAGCGACCGTGAGACGCTTACCGTTGCCGAAATCTCGTTTTGGAACGACTCCACATGAAATTTCGCTGGCGTGTCAGCAAAGATGTATGGCATCATTTCTTGGACTAAAAAAAAGGACTGCGTCATGACTCAAATGATGGGGACTATTGACTCACAGGCAGGAATGATGAGCAGGAAAAACAGTATCGTCATGACCACTGCAACAATCGGATCGACATGTTCCCATAGCCATGACTCACCAATTGACGGCGGAATTGCCAATCCAGCAATATACATTCCTAAAGCAAAACCAGTTTGAGCTAACAAGTATTTTTCTTCCATCAGTAGAGAAAGTGTAGTGTCTGTGCCAAAGCGGGATCGTACAAAGTAATACAGTAACAAAGAAAATCAAATTCGGTCATGGGTTAAATCCCACAAGAAAAGGGCATTAAGCTTTATTTGTTCGTGCAAAAAAGTAATGCCAATTTTTAAAAAATAATTAATCAGGGCGGGAAACCGAACCTCAATCAAAGAAAGTTAATTTTTTATGAATCTTGAATATAGACAAGATGCTTGCATGGGTTCTGTAAGCCTTGGGTGCCTGCACCTAATGCTCCCCCCTTAACCTTAATAAATTTTAAGTTACACCTGAATATATGGGAAAATATGAATATGAAAATTGATAAATAATTGAGCACATGCGAAAAGGTAGATAAGAACTTTAAATTCGGAGTACGCTGTACTAGAATATTGTGCCACGCCAAATTTTCCAGGCTATCGTCACAAAATGCGGCACATTACCGAGTCAGCTTAACTTGAGTCTACTGTCAAAAACAAAAACTCACCAATAACCACTGTAGGACTCAGAGTATGTAGCGCTAAACGAGGAATGGGACGTAGGCCCATTGATGGAATATGGCCCAGGGCCAGAACGAGGCATTTCAAAGCAACGTCGAAGATGCTAACAATAACGTACTGCTCTGAAATTTCATTGTGAGGGAAGAACTTAAAATATGCCTGCTTGAATACTGCAAAATTAAATTTATATCAATATCAACGAATTCTCTCCGCCTAGCCCAAGTTCAGGCTACGGTAAGTATACAGCCATTTAACCATTTACAACTTTTTTCATGCTGCCCATTAGGTATCAATTCCACATACAATTGTTGACTTATTTCAGGGAATCTACAGCGTTGTTGATTATCAGGTAAAACCTAAATTCTGATAAGAAAGGTCAGTCCACGTAAAAAGGTGTACGAGATCGTTGAGACATGTGAAGAGCACAGTGGGTGAGTACAAAGAAATTTCCTACAATAGCACATTTCAGAACCAAAGTTTCCTTGCAACAGTGAAAAAATGGCTTTTAAAGTATATTTTGGAAAATTTACAATTACAGTATTTAAAATGTTTCATTTATTTCCTCACTTTCACAAGTTATTTTCTACAACTTGCAGTAGTTTTGTCGAGATAACATAGCTAAGTAACTTACTCGGAACAAAACCATATCCATGTTTCTCCTGATCATCCTCGTGATCATGGTCGCCATGTGAGTGAGAATGATTACCATTTTCAGCATAATCAGTTAGTAATTCTAGAGCGTGAGTCGTATTCACAAACAGCACAGCTATGAAAGCCACACAACCACATATCCTAAAAAAAATCCATCAAAAAATAAAGTTAAAAAGGTCCAGTGCCTACTAATCCATAGGAACGTAACATTAGTTTCTCCCTCTTAAAATTCTTATCCATCTGGCTTATTAGTGTTAATCAGTTCTGAAGGCTTTTATTGCATCGTTAGTCGTGGTTTTAAATGTCTCGATGCAATACAGCGAATGTTCCCCCCCCTAACGGAGAGCAAAAATAAACCAAACTGACCGATGAAAAAGTGGCCGGGCTTGATCGCCGAGAGTATATCCGTGATGAGCCATGATAACAAGTAAAAGTAAAGTATTCGCAATAGGCATATTACAGATTAGTATGTGGTAATTGATCGATAGAAACACCTAAATTTACAAGTTTTTTGACCTTCTGAAACTTCCTTCCTAGACGTGAGTCAGCGTGAAGTGTTCACTGATCGATAACAAGCAGTTTTTTCAACAGATTAATTTAAGAAACGAAGAAAAACCCGACTAGCACAGTACTAAAGAGATAAGAAATGAAAGGAATTACCTGAGCTAGAAGCAACGCGACCATCGCCCAGTAGTACCACGATTGCGACAACGGTCGCATCCTTGCGCGACAACCTAGGAAACGAGCAATACAGGCAAGTAATTGGTATGGAAATCAACGCTGGTAAACCTCTATAAACGTAAGACACAAGCAATTTGAACAGGGCACGATTTTGTCAAAAGGACAGGGTCTATTCCAGTTAGGGGGCATCATGATGCAGTTTCTTCAGAAAGCTAGGGCAACTCCGAGCCAGGGGGAGTGTAGCCACGGGGGTGGGGGGTGTGGGCAATCACTTGACATGCGTGAAAAGCTGGGATGTTCGAGTTCACAATAGTTCGCCGAGAAACTGCATAATGATGCCCCCCTAACTGGAATAGACCCAAAGGACATACTACCCATCAGAAATCGATTGAAGCAGCACTGCGACCACCGTGCGGAATGTTGTCACATAATATTTCCAAAGCATATTCAAGATAATAATAGGAACACAAAGAAATAGTTCGTTTTGATTTTTTATGGCCAAAATTGAACCCGGTTATGATAAGGAACGTCGTCGCCAGGGAAAACCAGACAATCATGACGCAGATCATAAACATTGACGTCTAGTTTCCAATGACGGACGGAATTTTGCGGACCTACCGTGATCACAGATGGTCGGCAGTTTCGCGCATTTTACTTCGTCTACCGTATTTGCGGTGGAATGGCCGTGAACGTACGGGCGCTGACTTAGCCTAAGCCATCAACACGGTATTTTGAAGGCTCACCATGGCGATTTTCCTCCTCGTCATGCGATTCAGTGTTCGTGTGCATGTCGTCGTTGTGCGATGAAGAAGAATGGCATCGCCCGTGTGCCGGTGATAACGATCTCAAAACGCCACAAACGTGCTAAGCAGTCAGTGTGTGTATGTGCGTGATAAGAAACGATTGTGTGCAAATCGCGGTTTTGAGCGCGATTCGCACCCCGAGTCTCACGAATGACATCGACGTTCGGTGCACATTTGGAGGGGGAGGTGATCAAGGCACGGAATTGTGTCAGTAGACAGCTGGGTTTAATGAAATTCATATCGCAACTGGTTGCTGACGGCTTGTTTGCAAAGGGCGCAGCAGTTTATGATTGTAGCACGAAAACTGTTGCATGATGGACACAAACGCGATTCTTGGCCAATTGAGCATAGCAATGCGATGTCATAAAAAATGGACTGATGGCGTAATGTCACCATTTGGTTGGTGCTTATGGTGAATCGCTGCCATCAAATGCGTTGAGCAAACCAGACAAAAGTTCAAAGATCTTCGTCGGGACCGATTCTCTTGGTAAAAATTCACGATTTCGGAGAAAAATCCTTACCCACAAAGGAGGGTGTGGGATTTCAGCGTTATCAACATGACAAAGAGTACAAGAGAGAATTAGAGAGAGGGCTTTTTGGTGAGTGTGAGTGGGGCAGGCAAGAGAAACGCTGGGACAATCACTCCTACACTGAGTCACGACATCATAAGGCTACGCAAACATCAGCAACGATATCAGAGCTGTCTGTGTCTTGAGTCAACATCAAAAGCGTATTGCCTACGGAAAAAAAAGCCAAGGAACGTTTAAGAAGAAATATGATTGCACTAAATTGCGCTATACGAGAATATTTTAGGACTCCACTCCTGTCCCCAGAAAACATCCCCTTTTTTCAGGATTGGGACCTAAGTAATTGGTAACAGCTTCCATTCATTGGAAGACATCTCTCTTTGTATCCTTCTTAATGAGTTTAGCGCTGTGATGATGAGGATAAGGGGACAGCAATATGATGTGGCTGCTTGGGTGGGCCAGGGGCGGTCTCAGCTCATTTTGTATGCGTATGCGTATGAATATTGTAACCGTATTTACGGGAAACAAACATCTATAGAATATTAGCGAATGCATTACATAGTAAATCGAACAAGATTACCGAAAAGTGAAAACTAGTACTGCTCAAGTAGATCAACGTACTGATCAGTAGGTCATTTGTTGGGTGATCGGGATCGGTAAATGTCCCACAGCTGTTCGCCCGACTCTTCACTGCCTTGACTTTTTCGTTATTTTATTTGAATATTTGGTGACGTTCTGAAAAGTACTTCATCAATTAGATGTTTGTCGGCCATCTGACGTCGTTCGCTCGTCATCTGGCCCATCCATTTGTCCTCGGCAGCTGTGGCATCAGCGCGAACGTCGAGATCGCCTCATAAAAACCGAATAGCGACGGTTCCTATTGAAAAACACGGCTCCGATGTTATTATTGATTAATACTCGAGTAAGATGAAGTCAATGAGGCGATCGAGGTGTGAAAACAGCCGACGAGAATAAACTCGATTCATTTCTATTCAGCTTTAACCACTGCTCACGCTTTGTTGTTCCCTATCGTAATTGAGCAGAAATCAATACGCCCAGCTTGTTCGTTCACACGTCGCCGAGTCGATGTCAAAAGCCTCTTCGTATTGATCGTATTGATTTTCGTCGTTAGTGCATTTCTCAGCGTATTTTCCATAACATGAGTGACTGATTGTACTCAGAGGTATTCACTCTTACTTTTATTAGAGCATTTAATCTCGTAAATCCTCGTATTATCGACATTCCTCTCGGGAATATCGCGTTTTTGACGTATAATAATAGATTTTCACCACCGCTATTCAACTTGTTAGTAATTCTAATATTTCAATATGAACAGACGTAGTCATGGGGAAGACGTTTGCGTTTGATTGTGAGGCCATTCGTTACTGCTCATGATTACCACCTGCTGGTTAGTATTAGCCAGCCGGTAAGTAAGTGGTTTGGTTACCTTTGCACTTATACGACTTATAACGGAAGAAAACACCATATCTTTTTTGAGAAATTGTTATTAAAATTCCTTGTTTGCTTGTCCTCTGATGTCATCAGTCCGTGTTGGTTTTTCATTTGCGATAGCGATAGATAGAGTCCAGAAATCGTATGAGCAATAATTTCGATAAAATGGAAAAAGTCGAAATGATAAGCGTATAAAAATGATTTTAATGGTATCGGATCGCAAAAGACGTAGCAAGGGGTTTTCTACGAGTTTGTGTGGTCCCAAGCAACATATACAAGAAGATTTGAGCTTCGCCCATTTACCGCGCTTTTTTCACAATTTTTTTTTCATAATGGCACAAAAATATGAGCGAAGAACTAGATAGCACTGCTTTTTTCCTAGTTTTGGGATTTTTCTCCGAATTGTGTCCGTTCGCTTTCGTGGGAGGTGAGCTAGCGGCTAGAGTCGCTGTCTCACATTTATACTGTCTATGAGATTTCACAATGGCTAGGCTCACCATGTCTTTGTAGTAGGGTCAACTGTCTATCTGAACTAGTCAGATTGCAGTCACATTTTTCTCTTTGGAATTTTCGGAAATCTGGAACTATTTTTTTTGCGAAATTTAGAGAAATCTTACGAATTAAGACAACTTTTGTCGGCCTCTTTCGCCTCATGGCGCACGACTCAAAAACTTTCATCGCAATTAGGGTGCTGCGATGAAGCGAAATGTTCAAGGATACTTTCATTATATATATATTATTTTTCTTAAATTAGGAATTGGCCCACCCCAGAAGCAGGGCCCTTTCTCAAGTACCCCTAACTGCCTTTCGAAAATTTGCCGTCAGCAGCAATTGTCGTGGTCTCAGCCTCAAGAAGGCGTACCGTAGGCAACTTCACACCTTGGAATGCTGCATAATTCTTCAACGGCCGGTCTCCTTAGTGATGCTTCCTAGGACAGTAAGACGAATATGCGAAACGCCTTTTCGATTAGGCTTTCGACAACGTTCGTATGGCCCCACGTTCCATCGGCACTTCGTTGAGGTGCGTACCGTACACCCGTTCCGGTGGCAGTCTCTGATGTCGCCCATGTATTTAGAAGGGTATATTATGTTTTTTTTTTGAGATCGCTTGGAGATAATGGCTCTTCATTTTTCAGTCTGAGAGCATTCAGTTCGTATTTGGCAAGCGTGTAATTAATTAACGCGTTGAATTGTGCGGAAATGAGCTTTCTATAGCTCCCTGTATATTCCCTCCGTTCGCAGACGCACGCCTTATGTCCAGGATCAACGCCACGTTTGGAAGCGTTTTTCGGGATTTTGTTTGAGACCTCCTAGCTCTCTGGTGGTCGCAGTTGCGAACGCCCTTGTTTGGTTAATAAAAGTGCTAGACATGAATCCATTGCGCCAGAAGGCAAGGCCGTCTGCGCGTCGTGCCGGCGTCGGCCTCTGGAGCGCGGCATGGTATTTCTGACTCCAAGACCCGTTTTTTCAAAATTCCATTTTCCGAGAAATCGCACGTTCGAAACATCTTTGTTTCGCGCATAGGTTTTTGAGGGCCAGCACGATGCGAGTTTTTGAGCTTTCGCAGTATACTTCCTTCAAGAACTTGTTGGGGAGGTCGATGACTTTTGAGAGACGCAGCGAGATTCTGGCTGTTCTTATGTGTTTTACCGTATGTCTGAACGAAATCGTTGCAGAAATTTCGGTCCCGAGAAATATATTTCAGCCCGAGAAGTCACCTTTCATGGGAATGCATCTCAGCAGTTCTTTATCCCGCAAGGAACACGTCAATTTGGCCTAAAACTGTTCTCTGTGGCATAATTAAATCGCATCTAATGCGTCTGCACAAGCAGTCTTGCCCTCGGATACGCCCGCACTGCGCCTGTGCTGGCAGTCACTCGAAATTTCGCCCCCCTTCCGACAAAATGCGACCCTTCGGTCGAAACAGTTCGGAAACGGACGGGTTGCCGCTGCGTGTGGCATTGGTTTTCGGAGGCGAATCTGGAAGTGTGTCAGTAGTATCAATTTCCAACGAACCTATCGACACCATCAACTATCATTGGGTGGGATTTGTAAGGATCGTATTCTGACCATGAGAACAGTCACAAGTCACTACTGACCCGGCTTGTAGTTAGATCACTGGTTTCAGTGATTTTATGGAACTATGGCGAAGAGAAAACTTGCTCTGTTACCAATGGGCCGTCCAGGTCTACGGAGTCCTCGATTGCTGCTAATGTTTTGTACAGTATTTAGACGTAGCGCAAATGTCCAGGGCAAAATGGATCCTGCGCTAAAGTCAATGCCTTACCTTTGCCAGTCTAAGCGGACAACAGGGAAGCTACTCCAAGTTGTGAGCAACGCAGCAGCAACTTGGGAACATTTTTGAGCGGTGACTTCTGAAGCATCGGTGAAGCGTGCTTGTGAAAAATACCCGGAAAAATGAACCATCTTATGTCGATGGGAAGCATTTCAGGAAAAAAATTGAGAATTTCGTGCTTTTCAAATTTTTTCAAGAAAGGCAAATTCATCCATCATCATCCAGCTGACATGGCGCAAACCATCATTTTTTTTTACAGAATCCTGTCAGGCGTCTTGCGTGGGACACCTTGGTTTCCCTCAGTGTAGGGCTTTTGCTTTCAGATATAACTTCATGCTTGCTTTAAATATTCCATCACCGTATAATTGGCCCGGCCGTTACACCACCACTCACCAGAGGATCCGTCCGTCCTTGTTCCTGTAAAACCTCTAGACTTCAGTTCCAGGAGCAGGGCAGGGGTAAGGTGCAGCCGTCGCTAGCACACATGGCGCCTGTAATCAAGTCCGACGAAGGGGCCAACCTAGGCTACAACCGTAACTCTCCGAAGTCAGTGTGTTTTCATCGGATTCGTCTGAGGAGTAGGCTCACTAATCTGTGCATAGGCTAGTGCAGAATACGTTGAGTCAGTGTGTTGGCCACATGGGCATCCAAGTCCCAACACGATTCAAGTCAAATCCGAATGCGTGGCTTATCACAATTCGGCTTGATCGC